CCTCTTTATAGTACGGCATACCTAAACCCAAAATAGAATAAAAATGCTTTGAAGAGCGCTTTGGGTTCGTCCGTCTTTTGCACTTGAAGAATTGAGGGATACCATTTCATCTTAAATCAACTCTTTGAAACTTTCGAGGGACTAAAACTGCAATATATCTCATTAAGATCTCATTAGTCCCTAATTTGGATGTCATCAATACACCAAAACCCACATAGGGGGCCAATGCACTTTCAAAATGGTTTCCCTTTTACCAATGCAAATATCAAATTATTAGTAATAAATTCAATAAAAGATGGTAGTCTGGTAGAAAATAGTTAGCATAATAGAAATTTTTGATTGGTTCCGCCGTCGAGGGCCCTCGACTGGACACCGAGAAGTATGTGTTTGTTCATGCATCTTGATTGGTTAGTCTACTAATTGGAAATGGCTGGGTGAGGAATCTGGAAGCTCAGTGCTAGCATGCAATAAATTGTATTGCTAGGAAGGAAGAAGGAAGAAGAAATGCCTCTAGCTGTAAAGGAAAGACATGCAATTTGGATACGATGTAGTTAGCTATACAATGAGAACTTTGGGCATATATGCATCGCGGAGCAACTTATCTATATGAACTTTGGGCATTGCGACGTTTCTCTTATCACTTTTCTTGTTAGATATAGCACTTGTAATTCAATGTACAATATGATGTATATTTGACAAGAGAATCTATGTTTTGCAAACACATTCGGCAATCTAAGTATGGCTGTTTCATGACCGAATGCCTACCTGGATGATCATCTTTACACTTGTCATTTTCTTGTCTTCATGGTCACGGAGGAGTCACCAAAATTTTGGAGAAATCAGCTTTCATAGATTCGTGATAGTTTATTTTTTTTTATATGGCCATCAACCGTCCCCTGCTTTGAATTTAAGATGTGTATAAATGATTTTTATTTTATTTTATCTGCCATCAACTAAGCATGCGTATTTATATGGTTCAAGAGGAGTAATTCCTACTATCATGAACTTGCATTTCAATGCACACTTGATTTCTTAGATTGATTCAAGTTCCTAACTTTTTTTCTCCATGTTGCAGCAACTAGCTGATGGAGGGAAAGCAGCCAAACGGAAGCATGAAAAATAAGCCCATGGACTTCATTAGCGCCACCAAGGGCCAAAATGACGCGGCACAGCAAACGATGGAGGAGCTCGCTAGCTTCCCTGGCTACAACGATGGCGAGGGCCCTTCAGCGACTTCCGTGTCGACTCCGAGGGCTTGCAGCGTTAGGTGCGTTTGTGATGTGCAGGTTATGGCTGTGAAGTGAGGTGTTAGTTTCCAACGGCGTGTGCTTCTTTTCGCAGATTGATGAGCTGGCCTCGTTCTTCGACTCGCCTGCGACGTCCGTGACCCGCGTTCTGTACACCGACAAGGATGTGCAGGCTCGAAGGTGACACAGTTGAGATTATCTATTGTCGTGAGAGCAAGCGACATTGCTTACCTTGGGCTGATCTGATTAAAATCAGATGAACCATGCTTAATCAGCTATTATAGGGTTGTTATTTTGTTAATTTGATCAAATAACTGAAAATTATCAAGAAATTACGGTGCCGTTCGGCTGGTCACAAAAGCCAGCTTGTTCAGCTTCTTTTTTCAGCCGGAATAGTGTTTTTCTCTCACAACAATTTAGCCGGAACCGTGTTTTTCAGCCAAATTCAGCCCAGCGAACGGGGCCGTACATTGCTTACCTTGCTTTACTTGTGAATAGACTGGGATCCACTGAATGCAAAACAGGTATCCCTGCTCTTTAATCAAATAACTGAAAATTATCAAGAAATTACATTGCTTACCTTGGCTCTACATCCATGATTTGGTTAGCTTTATTTTTTCTGAAAAGTATGACGTGCTTCAGCATCGGTTCAGTTACTGTCCATTCTATGGGACGGTAGACTTCATTTGTTTGGATGCAAATCCTATTTAATTTTGCTTTTGCTACCAATTTCCTGACTGTTTTTGCCATTTGTTTTGCAGATGAGCTCACTTGATCTCTTCTTTTTAACATCTTGCCCTCGGACGTAGACAGCGATTTAGAGATGGTAATAGTCCGGCATGCTGACTTTATGTGCTACAAGAGGCAAAACATTATGGTTCTTTGACAGGCCGTGCTTTCGGTTCGTCGGAAGAAGCAGGCCAGCCATACTAAGCTTATGGAAGATTACTTTCTAGATGAACCCATCTTTGGCCCACCTACTTTTAGGCGGTGATTCAGGATGTTAACAGAGTTTGCGCTGCAGATGGTATGTTTATCTTTTCCACAATACTTACTCATTTGCAGAAGCAAGACACTGTTTGTTACCAACTGCCATCAGTTACTGTAATTTACGATTTGTCCATAACTTGAATTGCCTTAGTTGACAGCTGAGAAGTTGCAGACATAGCACTAGAAAATTTGATATCTCGAGTCCTAAATGCCGTTCCTTTTTTCTCTTTTTCAAGGCTTGGGACTAAATTCTATTTACTGTCTACTTCATGGTTTGCACAGTTCGTGGCAGGGAGACACATTGTGTACTCAGTGAGTGCTGATAGTGCTATCATGGCTTGGAAGATTGATTCTAGCAAAGGAGAGGAGTTTATTATTTTTCACCTTTTTATTTATTTTTTTAAAAAAAACTGTATACTATGTAATATAGCTTGGATAAGTAGCGCTCACTGCACTATGTACTAGAATTTGTCACAATTTTGCAATATACTTGCTGGGTAATATTTGCTTCGTAAACTTGAAAGTCAACTCGAATGGTTGGTGCCGGTGGCCTGATTCCTAATCATTTGACTTAATGTTTAAGCTTTCTTTGCTACTGGCCTTGCTGCACTATGATTTTTTTTAGGAATCTTTGCCTATGATGGTTTAGATCACATGACGCCATTTTTTTAAGGGATGAGGCAGGCGAGATTTGCAATTCAATCTATCTCACTATGCATTCGTCCTGTCCTAACTATGCATTTTTTTTTTGCATGAATCTTAATCTATCTCACTATTTACTTTATTTTTTTTTTAAAAAAATTATCCATTTGGTTTAACCGATGTGTTAGTACGGGCACGCTACTGGTTAGTATAGTAGATTAGTATCAAACAAGGCACGTGCGTCTGAACCTCTCATGAGCCCGTGATCGCGACAGTATCTTAAAAAAAAAAACTCTTCTCCCGTCTCCGTTTTTACTGCTTTTTAGTGAGAAAAATCCGACTCCGATCCGGTTGCGGTTGGTTCAGAAGCTACCCCGCCCCGCCCGACGACGGCGAGAGGCCGATGGGGGCTCCGCCACTGTGGAAAAGCCGGAAAGGTTGGCCGATGGGGTTGGGCGGGGCGGCCCGCGCGGGCAAAAGGGTGCGGAAGCAAGCGGCTCCACTGTTTGGCGTTTCCCCAAAAAAGGCTGCGCATGGATTGGCGTCTTGCGGAGGAAGAAGGGAGGGGCAGGCGCGTCTGGGCTCCGCCATTGCTTTCGCCTTGTCCGTCCCACGAGCCTTCCAAAAAGGCCGCCCCCTTTCCTACCTCTACCTACGCCCGCCCGGCTGCTCGGCATGGCTCCTGGCGTGAGCAGCCTCTGAGAGTGAAGAGTAGTGGTTCGTGCTCGTGAGAGATGCATGCAGTTGCAGTCAGAGTCGGTCAATGCCTTTTGCAACCATCACAGTGCTGCACAACCAAAGGTCGTCGCTTCGGGGGCATCAGCATGTTCGGTGGCTGGTTTGTACTGTGGTTGGTTCGTGAAGAAATACCGCTGATTGATTTATGTGAGAGAAAAATAACATTCTGACTGAAAATTTACGATCGTTTATAACACGACACAGCCAAACGAACAGGCTCGATCTGAGAGTACGTTTGCCACATGCACCAACTGCTTGCTTTCGTTTCGAGTACAGCACAGGTACAGTAGACTTGCACACAACTCTGTTCCACTTCCCTACTGCACGTAGCATGTACTGTATTACCTCTGCTTTACATTATAATTACAGATAGAGTCGGTCTCACTGTAGCGGGAACTGTAGCATGCGGGAGACGAAGCCAGAGAAGCTGGGAAAACGAGCTTCTCCGGCTCTGATGAACAACGCAAGTGTCAGTGAAAGAAAGAGAAAGGAAAGCCGTTTCTATAAACAGTATGCTGCAGTGTTGATGTCGGGGAAGCTTGAGCCGGCGAAAGCCGTGTCAAACGGGCCCTAAATTGATAGTCAAGTCAGCCTTAACCATGGTCATTTTTTACACCACCAGGGCACCAGGCTCATACCATCCCAGGTAACCTGAACAGTGACCAACCCGAGCTCTGCCCTCTCCACTTCTCCAGTCTCCTCCCCCTTCTCCGCTACGCATCCGCTCGTATTTTAAGCACGCAGTAGTTGCGGCCGGCCGAAAATAGTAACCGGAGAGAGCCAGCCCCCAAGAGAAGAAAACCTCTCACTCCACTCCAGTACTACACACACGCAGTGAGACAGAGCCTCCCAACAAGGCGATCATGAGAAACCTCAGGAACCTCCCAAGTAGCTCTCAGTTGTACTAGGAGACGCTTGGATTGGATCCGAGCTGGGGAAGAAGACAAGCCAGCCATGGTGACGGTCCTGGGTGGTGGTCACAGCAAGACGGAGGAGAAGCATCACCGGAGGAGCCACCCCGGCCTCTCCCCATTCCCCTTCCCCCGGTTGCCCTTCCCCTGACCCAAGGGAGGCCCTTCTGTCTGTGATCCTTCCTTCTCTTTGGTTCTGGATCAGAGCCCCTCCCACCTCCTCTTGGGAATCTCTGAGAATTTCGCACCCAGCAGCAGCGACAGTCGATAGAGCATGAAGAGACCGAGCGGTTCCATCTCCGGCGGCGGCGGCAGTCCCGGCCCCCTTCCGATGGTTCACAGTGGTAATACTACTAACTTGTGCTCATCTCTTTCTCTACTGGCGATTCTGCAGTGCCTCCTTCCGGTTTGGCTGATATATGTTGGGTTTGTTGTTTGGAACAATAAAGACGATGGCTTTGGCGGCGTCGGGATGGAGGATGCCGACGAGGACATGGTGCTGTGCAACGGCATCGGCTTCGGCGAGAAGAAGCGCCGGCTGAGCACGGAGCAGGTGCGCGCGCTGGAGCGGAGCTTCGAGACGGAGAACAACAAGCTGGAGCCGGAGCGGAAGGCGCGGCTGGCGCGGGAGCTGGGCCTGCAGCCGCGGCAGGTGGCCGTGGTTCCAGAACCGGCGCGCCCGCTGGAAGACGAAGCAGCTGGAGCGCGACTACGCGGCGCTGCGCCACTCGTACGACGCGCTCCGCGCCGACCACGACGCGCTCCGGCGCGACAAGGACGCGCTGCTCGCCGAGGTGCGTCGTACATAGTACTCTACTTGGTTCCAGTTCCGGGGGAGATCCTCTTCCTCGCGTGCACGGTGCACACCAAAAAGAAAGAGACAAGATTCTTTATAGCGTTTGTTTTGCTTGTGATTGTTTATGAATCATGAGTTCCGTGGCTCGTGGCAGATCAAGGAGCTGAAGGCGAAGCTGGGCGACGAGGACGCCTTCTCGTCGGTGAAGGAGGAGCCAGCGGCGTCCGACATCGAGGCCCCCGCCGCCGGGGCGGCCATGACAGCGCAGGGATCGTCCGACAGCGACTCCAGCGGGGTGGTGAACGACGCGGAGACGACGCCGGAGAAGCCTCCTTCTCCGGCGGTGACCGCCGAGGCGGCGGTGGTCGGCGCGTCGGCGCCGCAGCTCCAGCTCCAGCACGGCGAGGTGTTCTTCCACGGGCACCTGCTGAAGGTGGAGGAGGACGAGGCGGCGTTCCTGGGCGACGACGACGCGGCGTGCGGGGGCTTCTTCGCGGACCTGCAGCCGCCGCCGTCGCTGCCGTGGTGGGCCGAGCCTACGGACCACTGGGCCTAGGGCGGGCCGGGGGCCGCGGTGGGCTGCGGGGAACCCAATAAAGAAGGAAACTCGGCAGTGCCCAGTTGGGGGGCGTTTCTGCAAATTTTGTAAAATGGAAATGTACCTAGTAGTTTTCTGTCAGTTCTCCCGTAGTAGACAGTAGCAGCTCTCTCGTTGCCTGCCTCTGGCCTTTTTTTTTCGGGCACGTTTGGTCGGAGACTTTTTTTCCCCTCATCTGGGTACAGCTATAACACCTGTTCGTACATACGCACATCCACACAACACACGTAAACAAATCTACAACTACACTCAGATCTGAAGACTGCGTCCTTGTTGAGATTACCGAAATTCTCTGATTTCGTAGACGATGGACACGTCACGATCATATTGTGGCATCACGCGCGCGAGGAAGACTCTTAAAACCTGTCCAAGTGGAGACCGTTGAAAATGGGAACAAAGTCCCGGTGAGCACCTGCGTGAGCTGAGACTCGAACGCAGGCGGGCGTGGATGCGCACCTGGCGTCGTTGCCAACCGCACTACGTGCGGTCCTCGTTTGGCTGAGACCTGGATGACTTGCTTAGCAAAAAGTGTTGCCTGTAAAGCTAATGAGTTTTGTCTGATGAGGCAAGGTTAGAGAAAGTCTGTTTGGTTGGATGCATGTGCGTGAGAATGCTTATGCGGGTGAAATTTTACTTTTTTATTGTTTGTATATGTTTAATGATCACTATTATTGTGTGCTTACTAAATAAATAACTTAAAGTTAATTATCTATTCTTTGTTAAAATATTAATTTAAATTTTTTTTCTAATGACAGATCTCTATATGTATTTGATTATAGTAGAAAGAGATAAGTAAAGACAAAAAAATTATTTTTGTGTTTAGACAGTAAAAAAAATTGTCGCTACGTGACTCCTATTCCATTAGCTAATCATGGTGATTAGGCGAGACAACACTCATGCCAGCGCTAGACGCTCAGTTTCGAATTACACTATAATGTTTTTCTGTACAAATATACAATAATTTATGGTATCTTATATACTATGTTAGCGTTTATACGTGGAAAAAAAGAGAGGAAGAACCTGTTGTAATCATGGTCTTGTAGAATTAATCAAGTGACCATTAATATCAATAAAGATACTTTATGTGTTTAGACCAGGCAAACTACGCAGACCAAGCCAGGCGGACGTTTTTCATCGCCTGGGCGTGTGCACGGCTGCCTGGGTCAGTCAAGCTCTCAAGGCTTTATCCAAACACTGCACAGGCAGTTTCCAGGCGAGCTCCTAGCCAGACATCTTGCGTCCAGGTTCGTATCAAACAGGCCCTTCCCATCCCATCCCCTGTTCTGTTCTGTCCTGTCCGATGTGTTTGCCTGCCATTGTGGAAGTGGAATGGAAAGAAACTAGAACGACGAAGGGAAAAGGGCATACGGAGTACTCCGTAGTGTAATAAGCAGGAAGCGCAGGGGCGTTTGTGTGAAAGAAACAGCAGGATGGGATGGGACGGGACGGGATTGGGATGGGATCGAAAGCGACAGCGGGATGGAGAGGCGCACGAGAAGTGTCCCGCGAGCGAGCGAGCGAGCGCAGGGTCGCTGTCGGTGGGCCCGTTGCCACGTGAAAAGTCAGGCTTGTCACTGACAGCGATTCCTGGTGTCCACTCCCCCAGAACAACAGTCCGCACCATCCGCTGGTCCGGCAGTGGGCCAGTGGGTCCCCTCCTCGTCTCCTTCAGAGCAAGAGCAAAGCAATTCCTCTCTTTTGTGCCGCAATTTCGCTACCAATTTCTGTCCAACAAGAATCAGAAAAGAATGTTACACTACTTTTTTTTTGATGCAGCATGTTACAGTACTGCACAAGAGCCATTTTTTAAAAAAACTGAAATGAAGACAGGAGAAGGACCAGAGAAGTTCCAACATAAAAAAGTTGGTGACAGTATGGCATATGGATGAATCAATCAATCAATTCGATTGAGGTTCGGTAAACAACTGCGGGTCGGGTACCGTTGGGAAGATGGTTTGTCTCATAAATTAGCGATGCAGGTGCAGGGCCAGATGCGCATTATTCTCTGTCTCTGTGGGGATCGGATGCCACGGTCTGTTGTGTTCATCGGACGACGCCCATGGATCAACGCCAGCGACCCAACGCAAAATACAAATGCATGGAGGTGGAGGGGGACGGCAGGCCCGGCGTTGGCCTTCCCTGCTGTGATGGTGCTGCGGCCTGCGGGTGCGCTCGCGCTCCTCTGCTCTGCTGTCGTCTCCCAGCCCTTTTGGCCTCGTCGTCGTGCTTTTCGACATGCGCGACCGCGACATCCCGAGCCAGCCAAAGGTGCTTTTCGGCTACGATGGACGTAATTTGGGCGAACCTACGTGCCCATTTCATTTTAGGCTTCTCTCTCCTACAGTTGAATATAATCGGGGCCATGCTAAGCACACCGGTATCAGGGGTATTCCGTATCCGTGCTTTGCGATCTTATAGAAAAAGGGGCTCAAGGACGACAGAGTAGCCAAGTGGTGTACAGGAAACCGGGTCAAGAGCATCTCCAGCCGTCATCTGATAAGATCCCTCGTTCACATGAAAAACTATCCTATCCTATTAGGCGAGCTGAAGGTGTTTTCCCCCAAGTAGCGTAGGCATCACAGTAATTGTCTTTTATTCATTCTGCGTTGTGAACAATGGCTGCCGTCAGAGAGGATGGCCGTTAGTGGAGGATCTTGCCTGCGGCTAGTGAGCTCTTTCCCATCCTGGTTTAGGGCGACAAAATCAAACTTGGCTACCGCCAACAGCACACAATAGCTCACCCTCCGTTTATGGCGCTGGTAGTCCACGTCGACGATGCCATGCTCTTGGCCCTCGACACCCTAGACTTCCTCCAGGCCTCGTCCTTATGCTCCTCCGTCCTGCCATCCGGCGGTGGTGGCGGTGACTTGGCCATGTGGGCCATGGCTGCGGGCGCCTTTTGTGGCCTACTCGTGGGGATCTAGCCGTGGCCCGTGGGAGGAGGAGAGAAGGGGCCACACCATGGGCGGGGCCTGGTGGTTGGGTCCAGGGCCGACGTCGAGGAGCCCGAGTGCCGCGCGCTTCGTTGTCTCCTCGCCTCCGCCCTGGGAGAGAAGCAGCAGCGACGGCAATGAAGTGACGGCGATTTATCTTGTCTCTCTCCCCCCCGCCGCATCATTATCACCACCACTGTCGACGCTTCTTCTCTGTCCTCTCCCACGCTGGCGAGCATATTGAGCAGGGGAGTGGGTCGAGGAGGCAATCTAGTACGACAATCATGGCTCTTTCAGCCCGAGGCACGAGAGCCTGGTCCGAAGCATGTTTTTTCCCCAACCCAAGCACGGCACGGCCTGAGGTTATGCGGACCCGGGGCGGCGCGGCCCGATGTATAGGGCCGTGCCTAGGTCGCATCCCAGGCACGTGGGTTGGCACCGCACGGCCCAGTAAATAGCACCGGCCCGGTACTAGGCCCGCTACTAGACTAAAAGGCCAAAATCATTACAGCCCAACATAACTCCCAACCCTAAGTCACCGTCCATCCATCTCTCCTTCCCTACCCATGCCGCATTCTTCCTTTTCCCTCTCGCGACTCACGCTCACACACTCGGCACCCAGCGCCGCTTCCCACTCAGCTGTCTCCCGTGGATTCTCCTCGAGACCTCAACTCGAGCTGCCAGACAGCCGCGAGGACACCGACGTGGACCGCTGCACCGGCCTTGACTCCCTCGAGCGCGGAGGCCACGAGGGCGCGACCATGGGACGCCACCGCGCTGGCCGCAAGGATGTCGCCCTCAAGCGCGCAGCGGACGCCGCGAGGGTGCTACCGACCTCGAGCACACCCGCATGAAGGCGCCACCGCGGGCACCGGCCTTGCCTCGACCTCCGCCTGCCTCCGTCCTTCCTTCCCCTTCCCCATGCTGAAAACCTGGAAGCGGGCCTCGGGCTAGGCACGGCCTGCTAAGCTGGGCATGCTTTACGGGTCGGCACGGCACGAAAAACGGCCCACAGTGCCGTGCCTGGGCCAAAGGTTGGCCCCGTGGCCCGGAGAGGCACGGCCCAGGAGGCACGGCGTGCCGTGCCGGCCCGACCCTCTTCGGGCCGTGCCTGGCCCGTGCCCGTGCCGTGCCGAGCCAGACCGGCCCGTTGGCCATCTATCTACACTTCCACTATCTTATACATAAAAAAACTCTCCTAGAAAAATCCAACTCAAGATGAAATATTGTTTCGACAACTATCTAGGATTTGATGGCCCTGTTCGGCTGGCTGAAAAAACGGATGATGCTGATTTGTTATGAGAGAAAAATACTGTTATTTCGCTGAAACGGTACGGCTGATAATTTCAAAGCGAACAGGGCCGATAACATATGTTGAAATAATCTGGAGATTCAACCGTTTCGATGCAAGACGGATTGTCCATGAATGAACTTATAAATAGCATAATTTTTATGAGTTACCGCCCGTCTTGCATCTCTAGTTTCATGCCGAATTAGATTAATAGTCCGATAAACGAGGCTATCGTCAAGTATAATAAGGTTCCAGTTCATGTTTGAGCTTATCAATAGCAGGGGACCTGCGAGCTGTGGATCAGATCAGATCAGATCAGATCAGATCAGACAGAAGCAACAGGGGGGGCCCGGCTATTGCAAACCTGGCAACACTAAACACTAAGCCCTTGTTTAGTTGAGGGTAAAGTTGGAATTTGACTACTGTAGCACTTTCGTTTTTATTTGACAATTAGTATTTAATCATGGACTAATTAGGCTCAAAACGTTCGTCTCGTAATTTCCTACCAAACTGTATAATTAGTTTTTTTTCATCTATATTTAATGCTCCATGCATGTATCGCAAGATTCGATGGGATGGATACTGTAACACTTTTTTGGAACTTTTTTTTCAACTAAACACGGGCTGGTTTGAGCTGGCTGGTGCTGTTTTTCTGTGAGAAAAAAACACTATTGACTCACTGATTTAGCCTGGCTAAAACCAACAAGCGAACTAGGCTGAGGTGGATGCGTTAACCGAGTGAGGCCGTCCCCTGTTTTCGTTTCGTTGATACTACAGTACCATCCATACCATACATCCTCCCGACCAATCGCCATTTGACTTTTTGCCTCTTCTTTTCCGAGTCCCTATTGGCTATTGCTGTCGTGTTGTAACTTGGCTTAGCATATGTCGCCGTTGGAGAGGGGCCCTCTTGGGTGTGCTGTGGGGACACTCATGCCGTGATGGAGAGCGACGCCGGCGCAAATTGCCCGCTTGCTCATGCTCATGCTCATGGGATGTGGCACTGGCAGGACATGAGCGTCGTTTTCGCGGCTCCTGGAATGCAATGCAATCGAATTGACACGGCCGAAAACGACCATCATGGACAAAAACACCGCGGACTAGTAGTAGTACATGTACGTAGCTCTCTGTCAAAAACATATTATACTCATGTATGTATAGACTTTTTGCAGCAGCAGCAGCTCACGGTTTTCCTTTTGTGGCTCTCCGGAGTGTTATTTGGCATCCTCAAACACCACTGCTTTTTATAATTTCTAATTTCTCAGCAAAGTTTTGTCTGCTTCGTTCGTTGTAGTACGACACGTCCGGATTTGGATGCGCTGGTTCATCTCTTCCATGTGTTCCTTGGCCACATGTAATGATGTGTAAGCCAATTTAGACCTCGTTTGGAGGAGCTACAACTTTTTATAAGCTGTGATAGTATTTTTTTTTCTTATAAAACTATGAGGGATTTAGGCGATAGCTTTTTATGTACCTATTAAAAAAGGCTAATAGCTTTTTATAAGCTGGATGGTTTGCTATTTCTAAATAGGCTACAAACTTAGTTGAGTTGTTTGGATCAATTCTAGTTCTTTTAGCAACTAGTGATTTATTTTAGTTGATCCAACCAGGACCTTAGTGTTGCCAATCGGTTGATGAATCTTTTCACGCGTTCAACAATCACCTAGCTACATATGGTATTCATTGGTTGCGTCAAGTCCACCGCCTCTCCACAACACATCTATTATCTGGTGAAGCAGCTCTATCTGAGCACCCCCGCCGGCCTCTAGCCGAGCACCTGCCCCGTCCCACTCCGCACCGGCTCGGGGCAAATCTGCCCTTGCCTGTGCTGGGGCCCACACGCACTAGAGGAAAAGTGTGAGAAGCTTGTGTTTTCAGCTCCTTCCGCGCGTAATAGCTGTAGTCACCCGTATTTGCGGGACTTCTTGTCTGAAGCAGTTTGATTTTGGTTGGTGAAGTGCTAAAACAACTCCTGAAGCGGCACCATAAGCCATACCAAACGCCTCCTGAAGGGTGCTTACAAGGGTATGGTGTATATGTACATAAATTTATAGGAGTGAGTGGAGATGTGTAGGTGCATTTAATCCATTTATATGTATGTTTGGGTCTGTGATTGTTAAAATTACCACGCCACAACATGGCTAAGTCTTGATAAATCAAATGCGTGCTTTTGAATGACCACCGTCCAAAAGGAAAGGAAGGGGGGAAAAGAGAAGAAGTCGTACAGAAGAAAAGGATCTATATGTGCCAGTTGACATGCTAATTACCAGATCAAAATCAACATACCCTTATACCCTCTCAAAGGTTCATGGAGCCCACGGAAAAGAGGCGCACTAGGCCATGGTTAGTAGATCAAAGAACATCCACGGCACAACACCGTGGGCTAGGTTAGCCTTTTTTTTCGTTTTTAGGCCCACCAGTTCTCCCAAAAGCTTGATTACTTGGGCTGGCGATGGACATTGGTTTGCCTACAACGACTGCACGAAAATCAGCTGGTACAATTTTTTTTACAGGAAGATATGTGTATTCAGCTCATAAATAAAACGGGACAACTAGCGCACGGACGTCCATACGGACAGGGCGTCCGGACGCCCGCGCCTGCAAGTCGTTTTCGCGCCATTTCGCGCGCCCACACGGGCCCGCGTTGGGCCGAGCGTCACCACCATCGAGAAAGAGGGGAGGTGGCGGATGCATAGTCAACGTCGGAGGTGGAAGAGACACCGATGCGAGGCAGAAAAACGAGGAGGGACATGTAACATCCGATCTACTTTTAAAATATCCAGATGCAACATTGGCAGCATACGTCTTAAGGCAGATGAAACACTTGAAATATGCATATGAAACACTTGTTGCAATATCATATCTACTTTTGAAACATCCAGATAAAACACTTGCAACATACGTACGGGAACAGCTGAAACACTTAGAATATACGTCTGAAACACTTTCAAAACACATATGCAACATCTTGATAAAACACTTGCAAACATACGTATGGAAAAACAGATAAAACATTCGGAACATACACTTGAAACATACATGTATAGCCATCGCAACATCCCAATTTACTTTTGCAACATCATGATGAAACACTTCCAACATGAAACACTTGAAACATACCTTTGCAACATGGGCTTTTCAATGCAATGTCATCTTCTTGCTTGGACTTAAGAGGCTTGTCGTTGTGGAGCTCCGACGGAGGCGCATGGAGCTCGTCGTGTGCTAGCGGCGCGGGCAACTCACCGACGGGACAACTTCACGAAGCTCAACCCCCCCCACCTCGCGCTTCTTTGGAGCATCCGCCGAGAGGCTCGCCCGGCTTGGTGGAGGCAACGCGTCTTCCCAGAGAGCGGTGGAGGTGGCAGTGATGAGCAGTGCAGTGTGGTGGAGCACGGGCGACGTGAGCCGGCAGCGCGGTGGAGGCGGGCGCGCGCGACGGGGCAACACGTTGGAGGCGGACATGAGCGAGAGAGGGTGGGGTGGGGAATTTTATTTTCTCGGCAGGGTGCGGATGAGAGGGAGCGAAGACGTGATAGTGAGCGGGGGAGACGCGTCTGTCCGCACGGACGCCCGGGTGGAATCATTATCATAAATAAAATTCATAGGGATTGCAAGTTAAGCTAGAGGAGATCAACCAAAGCATAACTATTTTCGGCTTGCCTTGTTCCATTTCCTAGTAGAGAATGAAACAGAAATGGAGGTCGGGCGGCCGGGATGGTATACATTTTGGCTCGGCAGCTGCAGCATGCAAGGGGCAGCGCACTATACATAGCATTCTCCATTTTCTTGTGCCGTGTCTGGCCCAGAGCGTCGGAGCACTTCTGATCCTTCCCTGGAATTTCGCACATCTTTCACCCATTGCTGTTCCTGTTGCTTATCGATCGTCGTCCCGATCAATCGGCAGTGCAGTGGCCGGATCGATCGAGCGCTTGATGCCGCATGCCGCCACCGACGTTGCCACCATCGTCCCCGGACGACCCCGCAGAGCCATCGATGGGGCGGGAGATGGACGACGAGGACCTGGTGGAGGAGCTCCTGGTGACCGTGAACTCGGCGCGCGCCTTCGCGGAGTTCCGGCGCACGCAGCGCAAGGAGTGCGCCAATCTCCTCCGCTGGCTGCAGCTCGTCCTCCCGCTCCTGGAGGAGCTCCGCGACGCTGCCCCCCGGCTCACCGACGACGCCTACCGCCGGCTCGCCCTGCTCGGCCGCGCGCTCGCTGCCGCGCGACGCCTGCTGCGATCGTGCCACGACGGCAGCAAGATCTACCTGGTTCGGTTTCGATCGACGACCCTCCGATCTGATCAATCACTGAATGCATGCGTACGTCTTTGCGGCCTTTGCCTGACGCTCCTCTCTCTCCTTCCATTTCAGGCGCTTGAGAGCGAGACGGTGCTGGCCAAGTTCCGCGACGTGTACGAGAAGATGCACAGCGCGCTGGACGGGATGCCGTACGCCGAGCTCGCCATCTCCGATGAGGTCAAGGAGCAAGTAAGCTTGGCTGGCATGAGCATCGGGGCATGTTTCATGTGTGTCGATCTCTGCCATTAATTCAGAGTCATGCATGAATGAATTCCAGGTGGAGCTGATGAACGCGCAGCTGACGAGGTGCAAGAAGCGAACGGACACTCAAGACATGGAGCTGTCAATGGATCTGATGGTGATCCTCCAGAACAAGGAGGAGGAGAGGAACGCCGACAGGGCCATCCTGGAGAGGCTCGCCAAGAAGCTGGAGCTGCAGACGCTGGCGGAGCTGAGGGCAGAGACGATGGCCATAAAGAAGCTCATCAACGACAGGAACAGCAACGGCGGCGGGCAGCACGCGGTGGCGGACAGCACCAGGCAGATGGTGGACCTTCTCAACCGGTTCAAGGAGATCGCCGGCGTGGACGAGAAGGACGTCCTGGGCGGCGACGTGTCCATGCCCAAAAGCCTTGACAAGTGCCCTCCCTGATGATCCCCAACGACTTCCTCTGCCCCATCACGCTGGAGATCATGACGGACCCGGTGATCGTGGCCAGCGGGCAGACGTACGAGCGGAGGAGCATCCAGAAGTGGCTGGACAGCGGGGAGAGGACGTGCCCCAAGTCGCGGCAGCCATTGGCGCACCTGTCGCTGGCGCCAAACTACGCGCTCAAGAACCTGATCCTGCAGTGGTGCGACAAGCACATGGTGGAGCTGCAGAAGCGGGAGCCGGAGCCCGCCGCGGAGACGGAGGAGCACAAGGAGGACATCCCGTCGCTGGTGGAAGGCATGTCGTCCATCCACCCCGACGTGCAGCGCAAGGCCGTGAAGAAGATCCGGAGGCTCTCCAAGGAGTGCCCCGAGAACCGGACGCTGATCGCCGACAACGGCGGCATCCCGGCGCTGATCGGCCTGCTGGCCTGCCCCGACAAGAAGGTGCAGGAGAACACGGTGACGTCGCTGCTGAACCTGTCTATCGACGACAAGAACAAGGTGCTCATCGCCAGGGGAGGCGCCATCCCGCTGGTCATCGAGATCCTCCGGAACGGCACCCCGGAGGCGCAGGAGAACTCGGCGGCGACGCTCTTCAGCCTGTCCATGCTGGACGAGAACAAGGCCGCGATCGGGAGCCTGGGCGGGCTGGCCCCGCTGGTGGAGCTGCTGCGCAGCAGCGGCACCGCCCGTGGGAAGAAGGACGCCGCCACGGCCATCTTCAACCTGGTGCTCAGCCCGCAGAACAAGGCCCGGGCGACCCAGGCGGGCATCGTGCCGGCGCTGGTCAAGGTCATGGACGACAAGGGGCTCGGCATGGTGGACGAGGCGCTGTCCATCTTCCTGCTGCTGTCATCGCACGCCGCGTGCCGCGCCGAGATCGGGACGACGGCGTTCGTGGAGAAGCTGGTGCGGCTCATCAAGGACGGCAACAGCACGCCCAAGAACAAGGAGTGCGCGCTGTCGGTGCTGCTGGAGCTGGGCACCAACAACAGGCCGCTGCTGGTGCACGGGCTCAGGTTCGGACTCCACGAGGACCTCTCCAAGATCGCCAAGAACGGCACCAGCAGGGCGCAGAGGAAAGCCAACTTGCTCATCCAGCTCGCGCGCAAGCTCTGATCTGACTTCTTTTTTTCTTTTTCCCCCCCTTTTTTTGTGATGAGGAGGCGTACAAGTAAAATGCAACGTCTTTCAGCAGGGCATAGAAATTTGAGAAATTTTGGTGTATCCATCGGCCATCGCCCAACAGATTTGTCACGTGTTTGCTGCAGTACTCGCTAGGATAGAAGAAATGGCTAACTTAATTTTTGTGATGCACCACGTAGTGGTTGTTCACGATCTCGTGGAGCATGACCAACCAAAACACTAGGTATTCCATCAAGCAATCGAAGAACAGCAAGGAGCCTGTTCGCTGGTTGGTTTCTGGGCTGATAAGCCCGGCTAGTGCTGGTTTGTTGTGAGAGAAAAACACTGTTGGCTAGCTGATAAGCCCTAGCTGAAACCAGCAAACGAACATGGTGAAGAACTAGTAGACCAGCATTGATTTGCCAAATAAAATAGGGAGGTTTAAATATGAATCACAATACTGTGGGGTTCCAAATCGAGTCCGACACAAGCGTCTACAAGCAGCAGCGCTTCAACTATATCGCTTGATAAGGGTAAGGATTCAATTTGACGTGAGAGACGTTCATGACCCGATTACAATTGTCCAAGGACGCTGTGCCCTAGCGATCGATACACTAATTCCAATGGTTGTTCACGATCTTGTGGAGCACGGCCAACCAAACCCCTAGGGTTATTCCTACAAGCAATCGAAAAGAAAGCAAGAACAAGTAGACAAGCACTAAACTGGCAAATAAGATATGGAGGTTCAAATCTGAATCACAATAAGATGAGGTTCTGGATCAAGTAGAATTGATGGTCTAACCGACACACGTGTCTACGAGGAAGTACCAATAGCTAAACTTACAACAAAGCAAAACCCAACCTATTCATAGTGGCTTTAGAGATATAAATGGGTGTTTGGGTCGTTCTCCAACCCCTAGAATACGTTCCCAATGGACTAAATGGACCATCGGTTTAAAATAGGACCCAACTTGATATATGGGCCATCGGGCCAAAATAGGGTGATGCAGCACCATAGGCAAAAAAAGATCTAGGCATGGAAACGATGGATGCTGATGCATCTGATAAGATGTAGGCATGAGTCCAGATCCATTGGAAAGTAGATTTGATAAGTTTTCTATAAAGTGGTAGAACGTCCCAATCAGGAGGCCGTATGAAGCTGTGACGACCGCTGTAAGTTGAGACCGTTATGCAGACCGAATTCAACTTCCAAAACGTATTGGACTTAGACTCTTTGTTTCCTTAGTCCAAAAGTGACGTGATGATCTGGTGGAGGAACTTAGGAATACTTAAACTTAGTCTCCAATCACAACTTCATTGATATTCCATGCTTTCTATATGCAATCAAATTTTTCATTAATCTACGTAAGCAATTACAAAAAGAAAAATGTACAAACTTCAAGGTGCATCATCAATTTGTAAAATATAGGTTTTATCTTTGATTTTGAAGTGATTAACACGTTTATATCTAAACCGGTGATGTCCTCGTCATTTGTTATTTTGTCGGAGGGGGTGAATCCGGAACCGGACGACCAAGCGGAGCTAAAAATAGCCGAGCAGGGGCATTTGCAATGGGTGAATTGAATCAAGCTCATGTTGTGTTTTTTGGGGAGCGAATTTTGTCATTGAATTCAATATTTGACTAGAATTCGGCTTGCACTCCCCTCCCATGCTGTCGTGTCCAGAACTCCAGATGCTCCCGCTCCGTCACCCCGCCTCCCTCGCCGCCCGCCTCCTCCTCCGCGACAACCAGCGCATCAGCGCCCTCGCCCGCGCGGGCGATGTCGCCGCGGCGCGCCGGGTGTTCGACGCCATGCCGCACCGTGACGTCGTCTCCTGGAACGCGCTCCTCACCGCGCTCTGGCGCGCCGGCCGCCACCACCTCCCAGCCGCTCGCCGCCTCTTCGACGAGGCCATGCCCTCCCGCGACGTCGTCTCATGGAACTCAATCATCGCCGGCTGCCTCGCGCACGGGGACTTGGACGCTGCCTCCGCCTACTTCGCCGGCGCCCCGAAGCGCAACGTGGCCACGTGGAACGCCATGCTCGCGGGGCTCCTCCGGCTCGGCCGAGCGGATGACGCCGACAGGGTGTTCGGAGAAATGCCCAAGAGGAACGTGGTGTCGTACACAACCATGGTGGACGGGCTCGCGCGGCGAGGTGAGGTGGCGAGGCGCGGGAGGTGTTTGACGCAATGCCAGACAGGAATTTGGTGTCGTGGGCGGCCATGATCAGTGGGTACGTTGAGAACGGCATGTTTGTCGAGGCGACGGAATTGTTTAAAGTGATGCCTGAGAAGAATGTTGTGGCATGCACTGCAATGATAACTGCATACTGCAAACAGGGGGATGTGGAGAGCGCTAGGAGGCTGTTTGATGGGATTCGTGCCAAGGATGTCATCTCCTGGAATGCCATGATCGCTGGTACGTCCTACATGTTGAATCTTCTTTCCTATGATTTCATTTTGGCTAGATTTTCAAGCTGTAGATGAGGCTGCCCACCCGCATTCCGCAACTACTTGTGTCATCGAGTTGCTTCAAATGATAGATAATAAGCTTTGAAGAATGTTTATGTGCAATAAACTTCTTGTGAATTACAGTTTACAAAGTGTACACCTACTAATGCTTGTAATACTCTGAAGTTATAACTTGTGTTGGGGTTTTTAAGTGTATGATTGCCATGTTTTATTTGACCTTAACAAATTTAACTTTTGTGCATTCATTCTTCAATTTCTTTTTCGTTTATTCAATTAAAAAAGAAGATATACTTGGTGAATGCAACAGTCACATTGGACAAACTGTGGAATTTCAAGCTTTTAGCTCATGTTTCATTGTTATTGATTCAGTGATTCAGATAATCCTGTCGATGCATTTTTTTTTGTTAAAGAAGGGGATTTAAAGTAAACAAGAATAAAATATAAAGATCATGCATTTATCCCTTTTATTAATTGTGCCACTGATCATGCAATGATAGAAACCCTCACGGTTCACGTCTCCGTATTTCTGCAGGATATGTTCACAATGGACACGGGGAAGAAGCCATGAGATTGCATGCTGTAATGTTCAGAGAAGGTGTAAAACCAGATCATGCGACTCTTATTGCAGTCCTGACAGCTTGTTCTGCTCTTGCTTTGCTCAGACAAGGAAAATCCACACATGCTATTGCCATCAAAGCAATGCTAGAATCTGGCGTCTCTTTTTCTAATGCATTGATGACAATGTACAGTAAATGCGGCAATGTGGGTGAGTCAGAGTTAGTCTTCATCAATCTCAGAACCAAGGATATTGTTTCTTGGAACACAATAATTGCTGCATATGCACAACATGGTAAATATCAGAAAGTTATAGCACTGTTCCATGAGATGGAAGTGACTGGACTTATTCCCGATGATATCACCTTCCTTAGTGTGTTATCGGCATGCGGGCATGTTGGCATGGTGGATGCCAGCTTGAAGTTGTTTGATCTGATGTCATCTAAATACGCCATATCCCCAAGAGCTGAACACTATGCTTGTATTGTGGATATATTGAGCCGAGCAGGACAATTGGAGAAAGCTTCTAGTTATATAAAAGATATGCCATTAAAAGCTGAGAAAAATGTATGGGGTTCTTTGCTTGGAGCATGTCAGATACATGGTAACGTGCAGCTCGGTGAACTTGCTGCTAAGATGCTTGTTCAGTCAGACTCTGAAAGTTCAGGTCCTTATGTGATTCTTTCGAATATATATGCTGCTGCTGGCATGTGGGGTCAAGTCAATCAAGTAAGAGGTCAGATGAAAGAAAGAGGTGTGAAGAAACAACCTGGATACAGTTGGACTGAGATTGCAAATGAAGTTCATATGTTTGTGGGTGGAGATGCATCTCATCCAGAGATGAGAAAGATCATATCTGAGCTGAGAAAAATCAGCTTTCATATGCGAATGGTCACCAATGAAGCTCATATAATGATAGATCTGGCACAAGAATGTGGTTACTTTTCATAATCTTAAGTGCCATGCCATTTGAAACATCCACTCTACTCTGTATCCTATGAGTTCAAGGATCAATTTTTTTGGAGTACAGGCGTGTTTGGATTCTTTACAGGTTACTGTGCTGCCTAGGTGGGCAAGGGGTTCGCGTGGAATCATAGTTTGGTTCCCTGGTTAGCATTGCCTTGGTGCCTGTGCTTTCCAGATTTTCCTTGCTAACGAGAGTGAGCCAATGCTGCTCACCGTCGTGGGCAAGGTTATGCTTGCCTGGCAAAGCTAGCTGTAGAAGTAAACTTGCCCTCAACTCGGCAAAATGGAATTCCAACAATCCAGCATGTCCTTTAATCAGACAAGTTTACTGGTTATTGTAATGATGACACTGGATTCTTTGCGATAAAAGAAAAAGACTCAAGTTTGAAAACTTGATGGTTGGAGCTGCAAATTAGAAGGAGCAGTTCTTAAAGGTAATAATTGTATTTGTTTGTGTTGTCCTCGGAACTTCTATTGTTTTAGACAAAATCTAGATCCAACTTACTTTAGGCATATTTTCAGGTTTCACAGCAACATCCAGGAAAACTGCAAATTACCTAAAGGAAAGTGATACGGTTCTTCAGACAGTGTTGTACTGGTCCTCCACAGACCTTTGTAGTTTTCCTTAAACCTCGTAATGAAATACTTTTTGCAGTTTTACTTAGGCCTATTCGGATGGTGGGGGATTCCAGTGCTAGATCACAGACACATAATTTAACTTGTAAATATGGTCTGTGGAGAACCTTGACACAAGTTCTTTCAATCTCATTAACTGTATTAATCAACGTATTTCCCAGAAAGATAAGGTAATTTGGGCATACTGTAATCTGGGAACATGGGCTGCTTAATTGCATATAGCAGGCCAAGATTTTATATAGAGATTAAAAAATGCAGAAACTTATAAAACCATAAAAGGCTATGACACTTTCTTATTTCATTCTCTATATTTTTACATGTATGTTCCATTCTTTGTAGTCTAAATCCATGGCATGAAGTAA